CCCCAAAACCCCAAAACCCCAAAACCCCAAAACCCCAAAAATAGCTATTTAGCTCAAACCTTAAAGTGAAGAGTTCTTGCTCATGCTAACAAAACTCATGATTCTATTCTGCTGTTGCTTGATCTTATCAGCTCTTTGTCTCTTTTCCATCAACTTATTGATCAATCTCTGCTTGTAGATATTTTGGAGTTTATGCTCCCTCACCTAGGAATTAGACGAATCGAATACCTTATAATTCTCATAGTGGTCTTGTCTCTTGAGCTTCTGAATTTCCTTTCTCTGTTCATTCTCAAAGTCTATAGTCTCCTTGACTTTTTGCCTATAATAATTAACAGGAGGAGCTTGCCCTGACATTTCCTTTTCAAACATCTTTTTCTTTAAGTATCTTATTCTTTCCTTTTCTTCACGAGCTTTTACAATCATGTTGTTGTGGGCTCTCTCCTGCTTGGAAAGTTGCTTAATGTGGATATCTGACTTTTTAGCTTCCTTATCTTTTTCGATACGTTTACTCCTTCCATATTTCTCGGTAAGAGATCTCATGTGCTTTGATTGTACAGCTAAGTCATTTGACATGTTCAGATTTTCCTTCTTTTCCTGAACTCTTTGAAGATGCACCATTGTATTGGAGAGCTTTGAGGAGATGAAATTTTGCTTCTTTTCTTCAGCTTTTGCCATCTTTTCCTGATAGTGCCCAAGCTTACTATCAACATCATCCTCCTCTTGCTCTTCCATTCTTCTAATCGTGCTTAGTCTTTCTTTAATCAATTTGTCACGTTCTTCAGATTGATAGGTGTTCCTAAACAAGAGTATTAATTTTCACAAAGGTAATGTATAAAAATAGAAAGCCATGCCTCATAGAGCGATCTCTCTCCTGCTTATTTTTCTGTATCTTCTCGTACCTAGAAAATAATTAACTCATAAAATTTAGATTATTGCTTTTAGTTATGACATGAGAGAATCAAGAAAGTAGCTTCATGATCCAGTTTCTGTAATGATATCATAAATCAGTGAAAAATCAACTGTGCCACTACAAAAAGACCAAATGGGATAAACCAGCCATTAAACAATTCAAACAGGATCGGAACTTGCATCGTTGAGATTCTTCATCACTTAATGACTAGTTTGTCTCATCTGGCCTTGTTGTAGAGACACAGCTGTTTTTTCATCGATTTCTGATATTTAAAGCCTAATGTATCCGTGAAGAAACTAGTTCATGGATAATTATTGCCATTTAAACAAGTGTTGTTACATTAATGATTTTACACGTACTTCTTAGTCATGCTCTTATACCTCTGTTTGTTATCCCTCTCTATTTTCTTAAGTCTCTCTTTCCTATTCTGCTCAACTGTTGCTCTCTTAGCCTCTTCCTTCTTCTTGCGTTCAATTCTTTTCTTTTCCTCTAGCTGTTGGACTTCTTTTATAATTTTGTCCCGTTTAGTCTTGTCCTTTATTTTCTTAAGTAATTTCTCTTCCTCTTCTTGGTGGAGTTTCTCCTTGTTCTCACGCACAAGAGCCATCTTTTCTTCATTGTAGATGGATTTGGCCTTCTGCTTTTGGACAATCTCTTCTCGGTCGATAGGGACTCTCAAGGCAATGTCTGGCTTTTGAGAGACCGATTTTGTACCTTTTGTGAAAGCATCAGTGTATTTTGAAATACTATTCGTCAAGATTGCCTGATGAGTAGGAGATGAAGAATGCATAGCCTGTTATATATTATACATTTAATGTTACCTTCATGGCATTGTCTATTTGCCAGATTAGTTGGTTTCTCCTATCTTCATAATGCTCATAGCGGATCCTTTGGAGCTCCTCAGCCAGCTATACAAAGAGGTTATGTTAAAAATTAGATTAGTATTATCTATGAATGAGTATGGTACATCTCTTCGTTATTAATTTTATTTCAAATTGGCGATTAGTTTAGAATGACACTGAAACTTACTCCTTTTTCTTTAAATGACTCAAAATTTCGTGGTTTTAGGAATTTTTGGTTAATTTGAAGCGCTTCTCAGGCTGCCTTAGCCTCCTCAGTTAGCTTCTCTCCTACATATATTTTCACCTTTGGCATTAAGTTGGAATATATAATTCTATAAAATTTATTATTATAGGGGTTTTGGGGTTTTGGGGTTTTGGGGG